ATATATATATAAATATTTATATATGTATAAGCAAAGTTGAAAAACTAGGGAAGAAGATTTATAGAGGTATTTATAAGTAGACGCGTTAAGGTAAAAGATAAATATGCGAAACGAAGAATGCGACGATGAAAGAAGAACGAAAGAATCTGAATCACTGTAACTGTGAGGCGAGCATGATTAAATCTACGGTTACGATATTTAGGTATCAACGAGCAGTGAAAGCCAATCAACTCAGGGTCGACACAGTATAACCCGCAACAAAAAGTACAATCGTATACACAGCCAACGCATTGCATAGAATTAAAATAAATATATCGATATAACGTTTCGCAAGCCGCGGATATCATATATACGCCAATCGATCTCTATCCGATTTTTGGAAGGGACAAAACGACCACTCGAGTATTCGACTGTACGATACCAATTTCTCGAAATCTTACGATTAAAAGCTGTACGCCATTTTCCGACTATCTATCTACGCAGTAAGATTTTAAATAGTCTAGTTGTTTACACGAAATAGCGGCCGTCGCCCCGACGGCGTCGCAAACGTAAAAGTTCCTTTCTGAAATGACGTTTCAACCTCGTGCCTTGCAGCTGAAGAAACTGAGAATCAAAAGATTTCGTTATCGCCATATATAAGAGTCGGATAGAAGTTGGACGCGATTCGAGTGTCCACCACGCGATGTCATTTATTTCCGTTGCCAGTATATACAGGAAACAATTCGTACCACGATAATCCTCTCGACCTCGTAATGGCAGTTTCCTCTTCCCTCCCGCGCGTGTAATCGTACGTTTATCCGTGCCGATTCTCCCAACCGGTTACAACTCTCTCCGATACGGCTACGTGTTAGCCCGATTTTAAATCACCCCGAAGAAAAGGGAAAAAGAATCTAACGAACGAATACCGCGTTGGCGAAAAAAGGGGAGGAAAAAGAAGGAGAAAAAAATAAGGAAGAAAAAACAGACGCCAAGCGTCACGCGATCGATCGCACGGTGGTATATTTTTAGTCGAATTTCCAATTTTTTTTTTCTTTTTTTTTTCCCTTTTTCTTTTTTTTTCGGTTAACGGTCAACGAGCATTCGAACGAAACGATGTAAAAGACAGCTGGTTTTACAGTGTGACCAGCGGATAGCCAGCCGCGCAGCCGTCCCGAGCTCGACTCGCCTGCCAAAAACGCGTTCCTTGCACCGGTGGGGTCTCTCTTGCGTCCCTTCGATGAACAAATAGGCCCGCGTTACATTTCCGCCCTCGACGCACGCCCACGCGACGTTAACCACGCGGATTATGAAACAATAATGCGGCTTGTTTCGCCGACTTCCATATATATATATATTTGTTCAACGAACGGCAGCCCCGCGCGCGCGAATTCGACGCGTTTCGAACGAAACGCGGCGGTGTATCGATCGCGAGACGGGAACGAGCACCCATTGAACATCGACGCGAACAAAAGACAGAGCACCCAGACGCGATTCGGTAAACGTGAATGCTCATCAGGCTCGAACGCGTTCCGCGCGATCAGGATTTATGGCATATCGGAAGGAAAAACGGCGCTCTCGGTGCCCGACCTTTGTCTCAGCGGCCATAAAAATTTCCCCGGGACAGCTGAAACTCGAGGACCGCGTCGTTTAATAGGACACGTCCGGGTTTTCCGGCGAAAATTCGTCTGAATTAGTATGCGCGCACGCGTGCATTAACATATTTTAGGGGAGACCGGAGGAGAGGAATCGGCCATTACGAATGCATTGAGAGAAGAGAGAGATAGGACGAAATGTATAGAGGAGGGTACGGAAACGAGGAGAAGAGCCGTCGGTCAGAGGAGTGGAGAAAAAAAGACGGAGAGAAATTCTGGCTTGGGGAAAGTGGAATTTTTAGAGGCATTGTCGAGACGGCGATTTGGGTCTGGCCGAACGGTCCCACCACATCTGGTCCCCTTGTGCGAAGGTCAGAACGGTGAAAGGTCGCGACCTTGGCCGGGATTTTTCCGAAAAAGTCCGACAGAAAGGAGCTGAACGAAGGGGGCAGAGGAAGGGCGGCACGGAGGGTGGAGAGCGCGTCCTTCCTCTCTCCCCCTTTGTCCATTTTTCTCGCCCCACCGACGAGAACGGTGTGACATGCAAAACGCGTGCGTCCATGTAAATCGGTACCCTCTTAATTGCATCCCATGCAACTATGCGTATTGTGCACTTAATGGCCCGTGCGCGGCAACGAGGGTCGTAGATTTTAATTATCGTAACGACTCGCAGTCGATAATAAATCGAGCAACGCGCCGAGGGCGTCATGGTTTTTCGCGTGCTGCCTGCAATTTATTTCGCCACGTACGAATGATTCCGCGTCACACCGTCGTGGTATCGTGCCCCGATAGCGCACACTTTCCTTTCTCCATTTTGTTCTCCATAGTATTTCCACAGGCATTCGCGAATCGCTGTCAACGCGCGAAACGAAAAATCATGACGATCCTTGCAGTCCCGGGTCCCGGGGATCGTGAAATTTCACTGCAAGCGGTGTGTCCCGAAACGAGTATTGCCTTGACTAACGTAATTGAGCGCAAAATCAAATTTTACCCCTTTAAATCAAAAAGATAGAAAGAGACACGAGATATATTTAACATATGTATATATAATATATAATATATATATTATTGATTATATATACGGAAGGATTAAGTACGTCATAGGCTAAGCGCGTTTCGTATTTAAACGAAAAAGATGATATATATACATGATCTGTATTATAGTATTATACGAGAGTACGTGTTTGACAAGCGTATCGTTTCATGTAACGCGTTTCTCGCATCTAGGGAAATTGTTTTTAGTCCATCTAGTCATTTTCGACACGATTTACAATTCCAAAAAGAAATGTTCTAGTCACGCGACACGGTCGAAGAAACATATATATATATATATAGAGATATATATAATATGTATACACACGATATAACTAACCTCGAATGGTTTATTGATATACAAGATCGATCGTATATTTTTATATAAGACTGCGAAGTAAGAAAGCTTCTATTTTGTTGTTTTCTCATTTGTATTATTTTGTATATTTATTTCATCCCGTGTACCACCACCTTTATACACGTATGATCAGAACGGTGTGCACAAATAAAGTATCTTTCATTTCTTTGATTTTCGTTCCCATATGATTTTCGTTTCCTTTCGTTTCTTATTTGCATCCGTCGCGACCCACCCGTTTTACGTTCCCATTAAATTTTTACCGTTCGCCGTTGCACGACATCAACTTGTATAATTCAATGTACTCAAACGTCTGTCCGTCGGATCGATCAATTTCACCGTGTGCCGTGTTTTAAAAGGTGCCGCTCCTACGAGTCTTTCAACGCGGTGCAAAAGGGTGTCCCGACGAATTAAACTTGACAAATTGCTCGCGTGTCCCGCACTTTTGTCGCTTTATCGAACAAAAAGCTACAAGTCAAACATCACCGTATCCAGTTTCCTTTGCGCTGCGATCTTTTCTATATCTTTTTTCCCTTTTTTTCTATTTTTTTTTCCCTTTTTTCTATTACACGCGCAACGACGCAACGCGCTGGGGAGAGAAATTGGGAAGAAAAAGAGGGGCGGAAGAGCTGCGCGAGGGAGAAAGAGTTTCTCTTTCCCGACGATTCTTCGCCGAGAGTAGCGAGGGATAATATTTTATGGGCAAACGAAAGGAAAAGCGGGTTGGTCAATTTTCAGCGAGAGGGAGAGCGCGATCCGAAGACGTGAAACGCTTGCGCTATATCGGAGCTTTTCCTTTTGGTTGATGGCCGGAGTCAACGGTTTGAAAAGGGAAGGCGGAAGGCAACTGTTCCTATCTCTCTCGAACAAACGACCACCAATGAGTAAATGACACACAGCCAGCCCCTACCCTCGTACGCAAACACACAAACGTACGTACACACCGAAAATTGGACGTCTACCCACCCACACCCACCGGGGATATGTATAAAAATCAATAACATCTTGCGGTTTCCAAGAGCTCCGAAAACGGGGAAATATATATATGGAGGGGAATGTAATTCCCTCTTATAGACAAAGAACCGCCAATTTTTCATTACCGCTCGCCATCGGGTATTAATTATCGGTAATC